GCCACTTCACCCACAGTCTGGGGGGATGGTAGAAAAGTACAACTGGACACTGGGACAGGAATTGGCAAAGTTTTGTAATAACCACCAAGATGACTGGGATGTTTTACTCCCTCCACTGTTAATGGCCTATAGAACACCAGAGCATGAAGCCACTAGATACACTCCAGCAAAGTTGATGTTTGGTCGGGAACTTCGGTTGCCAGTGGATCTGATAACAGGACGGCCACCTTACGAAGAGTTGCCTGAAAATGTGTCAGAGTTCGTGAAAGTGTTATCTGAAAGGATGGATGATATTCATCATCAAGTGCGTTCAAACTTCAAAACGTCTGCTGATTCCATGAAGCTATGTTATGATAAGAGATCTACTGAAGTCAGCTTTGTACCAGGAAACTGTACCAGGAGACAAGGTGTGGTTGTATAATCCCAGGAAGACCAAAGGGAAGTCTCCTAAGTTGTCTTCTCCATGGGAAGGCCCATATGACATAGTGGATCGTCTCTCAGACGTGACTTACCGAATAAAATGTGGTCGGCGAGGTAAGCCAAAGGTGCTGCATGCCAACAGGCTTTGGCGTTATCAACAACCATAAATCTTCTATTAACACCGAAAAAGATCTTCCTGTTACTCAACACTTTAACCAACCCAGTCATTCCACGATTTTACTCTCGAAACAGGATTCAAAACTAAAGCAGATAGAGAAATAAAAGAAGCTTATTGGATTACTAATCTAAACACTCTTCAACCTTACGGAATTAATCTAGATACTGGAATCTGTGATCTCCGTTCATTGGTTTCATATCTGTCAGAAAAATAATTTTTATTCTTTGCTTATTTTTTTCATGTGATGTGAACGCTGAATTTCCTAAAATTTACTATTTATTTAAGATAGTTTTCCATACCTGTTTTTATAAACTGATTAGCATAACATATATTTTTCAATCAGTTTCCAGGTGTCACCTTTATTTTACTTAAACACTTAGGTATAGTTTTAAATATATATATATTTATTCATTTTTAAAGTAAAATATCCCTAACACCTTTTCACATACACTCTTCCATCGGCTACACTTTTCCGGAAATAAGATGCTTACAACAGTACATAGAGAAGTAGATTAAACATTTCCTGGAAAACCGGATGACCTTCATGACGTCACTATACTCCCTTTATATATTTATCACTCATTCGATTACACCACCATTCCCAGTTTGCCCCTGAAGAATAAAGGTTCGGGTTATAGAATTTTTATTTATTTCTATCAAGACTTCTTGAATCTACGTGTTTTTCTAACATCTGGAATGTAAATTATTATCCTTTGACATTAGATCTTAAACTTCTGTGTCAAGCTTATAAGCAAATTATAACTGGTGAGGCATATCAAGGATTAGTAACAGTACATTCGATTGTCAATTGGTGCGTAATTTGCAACATCTTCTTTCAAAGGATCATTGGCAATTTAAACCAAACTATTTCACACATGTAGGATCACATGGAAAACACCAACAAAAAACACATTTTAAACTTTGGAAAAAACATCAGACACTAGGTTAAGTTAAATAATCAATTCATTATTTTAAATATCAGGAACTGCATATCTGGGATCCAAGATAAATGCTTAAGATTCTTACTCTACTGAATGTAATGTGAGAGAACTCAAGAAATTCCCCAAACAGAAGCATGCTTAGGACTCCTTAGCTAACACAGCTCACGTCATCTATGTCAATGTTATTTGTTCCATTACATCAACTTTTTATTACTTAGTATGTAGGGATGGACCTGGAAATAATGTCTGCCGCATTCAATCTATTACTCTATGATGTTTACAAATAACTGCTAAAGTTGAGTTATAACCTTATTTGAGCTCTTAGTTGCCATTATTGAGTGTTTCTCAGCTTCTATAACAGTAATATTATTTTTTTCTACTACAACACGTATTTTTATAGGGAAATTATAAAAAGGAAACCAAACTACTATTTACCAGTGAGTTCACTGTATAAGCGTATATTATTTCCATGTTTCATAAACAACAGTTTTATTTCTGGTCGCTAGATGGGAGCACACATTGTTCTTATATAACGATTTTGGTGGCTTTTCATTCACAAACGCGATATCTGCCAGTAAAATAGATAAATAAATAAAGAATAATCTAAATTAATATTTAATGTATCAACATGATCAAGTATTTATGCAACTGATAAATCTGTGTACATGTTATTGATGTCTGAATTTAAAAACACCTGTTTATTAATTATTAAAACAATACATTATATAGCTGTCTACTTTTCATAAAATTGTGTGAAAGTCGTCGATGGATCGTGTGGTTAGAGACTGTTATAGTGTGCTTCACCTTGCCTGTTGTTTTTGGTGAGTTAGTATTATTAACTATTCGCCATTTAGATGTTTTATGTTTGTACTGTATGTGGAGCTCTTGGTGTATTATTTGCATTCTGGTTTACCTGATGTGGTTGACCGCCAGGGTTTGGCTGATCTGATGGGTCAGTCGCCTTGCCGCCTTTGTCCTAAGCCTTATTCTCGTCCTGCTGATGATTCCTGGAAGTCTACATTGCCTGGTACCGCTGCTTCGTGGGCTGATGTCTTGGATTCTGACTGTGCTTCGTAGCCTGTTCCTCCTGCTACTTCTGCACATCCTACATATGCCATTGTTATTTCTGCCTCTGTCTATGGACGACCGCCATCTGCTGTTGCTCTCGTTTCTCCATCCACTTCTGGCTATAACTTCGCATTCCGATGTTTCACGTGAACCTCCTGCTCCTATGGATAACACTTCTACATCTCCTGTTTCAGTGTTGCTGATCTCTGATATGGATCTCCAGTTCTTCTCTTCCCGACTGCTTTTTACAGAACTGTCAAAGTATTGTCTTCGAGCTGATATCCAACAGGTGATACCCACGTGTAATGGCATGATTATCAGAACTGCTAACCCAAATTTGTTAAATTTTTTGTACCAAAATGGGTCTCCTTAATCTTGGATCTTCCACTAGTTTGTAGAAACTTGTCTCTTCTATTATACAACAGCCACCACCTCTTTGAATGCCTCTCTTCATCTGTGTTATCTGTGGTGTTGATCGTCTCATCTCCAAAAAGGAAATAATTTCTAAACTGCTTGCTGAGGAGGTCTCTATCAAGTGGGCTATTCACATTCAAAATTCTACTGGCCCTACTTTTAAGATACTCGAGTCTTGGCTGAGAGCTGCGATGTCATTGATCATCACTTTCTCATGGTGCCTTCCTCTATCGTCAACGTTATCGTGTGGAAGCTTCCGTTCCCCAGCCACTGTGTTGTGAAAGGTGTTTATGCTATAATGTTCATCCTACTGCCAAATGTCCTAATCAGCCTATTTGTTCCCACTGCCAAAGTCCTCATCTTCTTCGTCAATGCACCCAGTTAGATTTTCCTCCAATATGTA